TATATTAGAATTTAAATATTTTATGTGAAGATCACTAAGAAAAGATAATTCTTTTTTAATATTGTTAAGATAGTTATTCCTCTCTTCACTATAAATCAGTAAAATATGTATAAAATAAATGGATAGAAGTTTCATAAAATAAATTGCAAAATATGTAGAATCATGCTAATAAATTATAGAATAAAATTAATTCTATCTTTGAAATTTTAGGAACTCTGAAAAAAGACTTGATTAAATCCCTAGATAATGTCAATAAGAATTTATAAAATCATTATGATGAATTTTAATTTAAAATGGAATCATTTAAAAAATAAATGAATTAATCTTGGTAAGAGATGTCTAAGGAAGAAATTATTAAAATTTTATCGGAACTTAGCAATTTAAATAATTAATCTATTTATGTAGATCCATTATTAAATGAATATAATTATTAACATAATTAAATAAATAAAGTTATTTAAGATACTGCTTTATGTTTTTAAGAATGTTTAGGAAGTTAATGTAATAAAATAAATGGATTAATTAGTAATTTATTAATAGTGGATGATATAAAAAATAAGGTAAAAGAAAATAATAAAGAAGTTGAATGCTAAAGTATAATAGAAACCATAGACTAATCACTAAGTAATTCGATGATCTTAGAACTAAAATAAGATAGATTAGATCTATCAATTTATCTTGAACAAACTAAAAATTTAAGTATACACTCATAACTCTATTCTTAAATTATCTAATCTAAATCTTAATAAATATATTAATAATTAAATCCATTTACTTACAATTTAATATAGACTAATTAAATAAAATAAATTGAATATTGTAGAGCCATAGCATTTAATAAAGATAATTCAATAGTAGTAGCAGGTTGTAATAAATAGATTAAAGTATTTGAATTCAATTAAGAATATTTGAAATAGACTCAGCTTCTAAGTGAACATTCAAATGATATTAGAACTTTAAATTTCATGAAGAAATCCAGCTAATTTATATTAGGTAGTGAAGATAAAACAATTATTATTTGGTCTATGAATGAAAAAAATTAATGGATCTGCAAATAAAAATTAAATGGGCATACTCATTATATTTATTGTTTAATAATGAACAAAAACGAAGATATTATAGTCTCTGGTAGTTTAGATAAAACTATTAAATTTTGGATTAAGTAGAATGAATGGATTTGTTCATAAACAATCACAGATCATATAGATACTGTATTAGGATTAAGTATAAATGATTAAAAGAATTAAGTGATTTCTTGTGGAAATGATAAATAAATATTAATAATAGAACAATGCGTATAGAATAAATAATGGAATGTTATATAAAAAATAAATGTTGAATAGTATGGTTATAGAATATGTTTTATCAATGATGATTTATTCACATTTTAACCTTATTGTAAAGACTAGATGCATATTTATGAGATTAATAGCGCTAATAAATAGTATTTAAAGACACAAGACATAGTGGTTAAATGTGGAAATTCAAGTGATTAATATTAATTTTCATAATAATATATAAAGCAGAAATGTCTAGTTGTGAATAAGAATGGATAAAATCTTAATTTGATAAGAAAGAAGGAAAATGGAGAATTTATAATTGAATAATCTATTGATTTTGGAACCAATAGTTTATATGGATTGATGAGTGATAATGGAGAGTATTTGATTACATGGGATAATAAATAAAAATAAATCTAAATAAGAAAATATATAGAAAAGTGATAAATTATAAATTATTAAAAATGAATTATGTATTTAATATTATATTCTTAAATAAAAATTAAGATAGTTAATTTTGAATGATTTGATTTAAAAATCAATAAAAAGTGGTAATCTGATCGTTGAAACTTATGTAGTTTAAAAAGTAAGAAAAAGGGACAAAAAAACTAATTTGATAAAAATGAAAATTGACTTTCAATCCCAAAAAGTCTGAAACGTTAAAAAATATGATAGAATTAAACTTTCTTTCATAAACACAAAAAAAAGACTAAATTTGAATTTATATTGAGCCTTTATAATTAGAATCAAAGGATACAAAAATGAGAAAGTAATCTTATAATTTCTACTTTTTAAGAAGAATTAATTAAAATTTTAAATCAAACATTCAAATTTTAAAATTTAGTCAAATTTCACTTTTTGGCTTAATGAAAAAAAACGTAATTTGAGCCCTAAAAATTTTAATAAATAATATGATTAATTTTAAAATAAATTGAATATTTAGGTCTAATTTTTAATTTTATCGCCAGATTTCTTTTCTTTTAATAAAAAAATTTAAATAAATCTTAATTACGTTTTCTTTTAAAATACATTTAAGAGAAATTCAATTAGATTATTTAAACATCACAAATTATTTTTTGTTTTCTTAATTTTTATAAATGGGTTTTCAGATAAGAGTCTAATTTTTTAAGTTTTTTATTGATATTTCGCACCTAAGAATGTTTGTTAACTCAATATTAGTGAATTGCCAAGTGCTAGTTATTTAGAAAAACAATATAATTAAAAGAAATTTAAGTTATATTTATGATGAAAATACCCCATTTTTACCAAAGATTGACTTATATATTATTTACAGAAGATTTTGTAGCGTAATAAATCTTTTAAAACATTTAAATTAATCATTAATTAAGAACTTTGGATATGAAATAAAAATTGAAGGATTAATAATTTAGAGGGAAAAAAAGAAAATAAAATGTTTTCAAAACGAAAATATGACTCATAAACGTAGAGCTCTTTATCTGAACAATGTAGGCATTCATTAAAAATTAAGATTGTCCGAATAGTTTCTCTGTATTAATGTAATATTCTAATGAAAAGAAAAAAAATTTATTAATTTATAATTTCATCTCTTCTAATTCAGATATTATATTTATAAATTTAAAATCTAGAAATACATTTAGAC